TTCTTTTTGACATTGCCTGATGGTCATATAGTGTCAAGGTGTGGTCTCCTTGAGAAGGCGTCATTTTAGTATGAACTAACCTTCAACGGCCGCTGGAAAGGTGGACCGAACATACCTAGAGTTCATGCATCTAGTAGTTTCTGTTCAATAGCCGAGTATACTTTTAGGCTATGCCAAAATCTCTCAGCTTTATATGATCGAGTTAAATAGGTATTGGACCTTTGCCATTAGGATGTCAAGATCACCTATCACTCACATAGTCACATTCCCTTTATAGGTACAAGTATTTATTTTTATTAGAAAAGAAAGGTTCTATTTCCCCATGTCACACACATAATTGGCATAATAATAATGTAAATGATGGACAGATAATATGGCTGTACACCCCTAGGGTCAAACGACCATCAACAATGCACGAAATTTTCAGAATAGGGATTACCTTGATTTTTCTACTTATCTACCTATGGACAGGGTTGTTCCGATGTCTACAATCTCTACTTTCGCATTTTCCTTTATAGCAGAGACTGTTGTATTAAATTTGCTCCTTCTCTAACAGCGTCTGTTTCCCGTTTTGATTTGTATTTCCCTGTGCCATTCGTTCACAGGAGCGGATTAGTTTGATGCATGTTCCTGTTACAGAGCTTTTGCAACCTGCGTTCTTTTGTGCCTAATTTGTACCATTTCCAGTTATATTTATGCTCCTTGGTTAATATTCCGTTAATGCTGACCGCTCATAAATCACAGATTCAAACATAATATCAAACCTACATGTGCAAGGACAACCACCAGCAACTGAACCTCTAACGTGTAGCAGGAGCAATAGACAGAACGAGGGTTACCGAGAAGAAAAGGTAACCTTGCATCGATTACTACAAATTGCCCTGGCCACCTCCCAATTTTAGCATATTCGTGTGCCACTCTTATCTAATTTTCGATTCATTGGTCAAACATATGTTGTCTATAATTAGAATATTATATATGCATATAACCTCTGAACTTTTTACATATTACACACATGCTGCTCCAGGACTCTGTAAAATTACTACTAAACATATAGCTGCTCTGCCTGAGACAAATAGGGTGCCTTTTCTTGCAGAACCCTTGTCCTTGCAATGCAAAGGAAGATAGAAAAAAAACCTATATTCTTCATAGCCACTTCAGTTTTGACCATACGTAGTTTTCTTCTGCTACAATATAGGTCCAACACTATCTAATAGGAAGTCCTTGTTTTTACGCAGGTGTCATAGACTATGCTGTATAGTCCCTGTTTTTAGTCACCTGTGTTCTTACTCAGCCACTGAGGTGCAGCTCTATTATTGCATCTATATCGGTGCTTTGTACTTAGGTAATACTGAGATTTGTTCCATGCTACATCGCTACATGCATGAGTTTCTTCCTTTGTAAGACTCAGCTCTGAGCATGATCGTGGATTTCAAACTATGCAGAGGCACCTTCTTTGCGCATATTTACAACCAAACACAATTCTAAATCTAGATTGAATACCTTCTTTGTGAGTTCTCATCACCCAACAACTGATGTAATATAAACCTATACACATCCTCGATGTATATCTACCTACCTTATTACTTATATTGCAGTCTATATATTCTCCATATTTGAAATCTTTCATGTGCCCTCCTACGCGCGCAATGGCGCGCCCTATACTAGTATATACTTACAGACGTCAAAACATATGCCACACATCATCTAAGGGTATATTAGGCCATTCAAGGAAAAACTTATATTTTGGAGCTGGAGCTAGACTGTGTGGCAAACAATACACCTGCTCCACAAACTCCATAGTGGAGCTGCTCTATAGTGGAGTTGGTGGAGTGGAGCTACAAAAACTGGAGCGAAGTAGTCCCAAACACATCCTATATAACTTGGTTTATGTTTTTCAAAAAACATTCTTTCCCACCAGATCTTCGATTAGTATGTAGTCTCTCCATTTCAAATTATAAGACGTCTTGAGTATTCTAAATATATAGTTTTTGTTATGCACTTAGATATAGACTATGTCTACAAACGTAATAAAAAATATCTAGAAAAACTAAAATATTTTATAATTCGAAATGGAGGGAGTAGTATTTCTATTCCAAATCGTATGCCGTTTATCTTTGTCCTAAGTCTTGTCCAACTTTTATCAAATTTATAGAAAAAATACATTAACATCTACAATATCAAACAAGTGCATTATCAAAATATATTGTCCGTTGTATCTACTTAACCTAATTTTATGTTGTAGTTGTTTGTGCATTTTCTATAAACTTGATCAAAACTAGAGAAGTTTGACGTGGAATAAAGCTAAATGACTTACAATTTGGAATGTAAGGATTGTCGGACAAAATCACTATCTTGTTAAGACTTTGTTTAGGGCAAAGCCCAAGGGGCGAGCAGAAGAAAGAAAGTCACAACAAGGAGGGTGGCGGCTGAGATAGAAAAGGTTGTCCCTAACAGCCATTGATTGCAATCGCCAAGTGCGGACAAATTCATGTCGCTTGATTGCTCCATGGGAAGGGGATTTTTACCACCACATTATTTGAAGCGGGGCAAGGAAGTGCTTCCTATATATAAGATTCATGTACACGTGAGAGAGATAACTGTTTGGTAGGATTTCTTTTGAAGATAAACAGGTTTTAATAGAAAGAACGCATATCTATTGGGCATGTGACCATTTACTTGTTTGTATGAAAAATTGTTCTCTCTTTTCCAATTAAATTATAGGGTCAATTTGTTAATGGTTCTTGTTTAAAATCCCACAATGATCTGATTTGCACATAGATATTGAATGACATAGCCAACACTTTCATTATTGGCACTATCACATATTACAACAACAAAAAAACACGGGGTTTAGTTCTTTCAATGATTTATTGAGGCATTATCAAAAGCCAATGGTCCGCAAGCATTTTGGAGCAAAAGTAAAAAAAAAAAAAAGTATAGCTCTTTTAAGCAAAATTAATGCATCTAATCATGCAAGTATATGCAACATTACTAGAACAATAGTAATAGTTCGTTTCAAATATTCGGGATAAGCTAGCTAAATGAACCAACCAATATTATTGGATACAATGTCACGGCCATACATTTGAAAATCTTACTCTTTTGACCAACTCATATTCAACTAAACATAATTTGAGCAAAACAAAACTAAATGAATTTCTTTCCACCACATTCAAAATTTTGATTCCTTTTCGAAAGAAGAGAACATGCGGTCACTTAGACCAGTGATGGTGATGACATTCTACTGGCTAAAGATTAAGACACAACTCTGCAGTTTCATATACCTATATCAAGCCTATTAAGTGTGTTTGCATTGCTCCACTGGTCCTGACCAGCAGAGAATGGGCATGTCCATCCACATAAAGAATCGTTGGTGTTTTAGTCACATGAGCATTTTCACAGCATAAACTCGAATCTCATTGTACACCAACATGAGTACCAACAATCTACCTTTGATACCTAGTGTCTTGCTGTGTTTCTCTCACTATTTGTCATTTCCATGTACCACGAAATAAGAAGATATTGTTCGGAAATTTAGGTATAAACACAGAGGTTGTTCTTCTCCCATGATAATTTTTTCAATCGTAGTCAGAGGTCTTTATATAAACCATACAACAGTCTTAGTAATTCTTCGCAACAACTGAAACTTTGTTTTCCTCTATACAATGGACACTGCATTTTTGTGATCTTCCTAAAAATGTCAATAAGCTACCATACAACAATATTGTTCATCCCATTTTCACTATATGGAATTCTTCTTGTGCAATGTTGTTGCGAGATAGTTGGGAAATTCTATGCCTCGAAAAATAAGATATAGTATGAACATAGAATAAGTCACCACAGCCACACATAGAGCTGAGCTATACAACACGCCTCCCATTTCTGAAGAGAAGAAGTCCAACAACATATAGCTATTGATTAGGATCGGCAGGGAAGCAACTGTCCAGGTTGCAATCTGCATCGAGATGCCGAGGTCAGTTGATAATGCTATATAGTGAATTTGCAATTTGATAGAACTACAACAACTAAGACATTCGAATACCCATCATTCAAGGATAAGATCAAATTCAGACTTCCTAAACAATTAGAGCACACATTTTGAAAGATAATATGTCGTTTAACGCATAATATGTTTGTGTTTGTCTGTATTTGGTAGATAGGAATGTAATCCAGTGTCACCGTATGTAACTAGAGACGTGTCTTGCCTCCCAAGTCTATACTCTATTTATACCCTCCGAGAGGCTCAATGTAATACATCTGCATGCAATCTTCTACTTATAGTTAGAATCAAAATGGATTCACCCAAGAGGCTCAACGCAATACATCCACACATTGTATGTAATCTCACTGCTTATAGTTAGAACCTAAATGCTTTATATGGGAAGAAACCATACAGTGACAATATAACATTGATAAGAAGACAATTTTTAATAAACCAAGAAATTTTGACACCTTTACATGAGAAACTCTGAAATCGCTAAATTGGTCTATCATTAAGAAAACGAACAACCAATTATATTTTTGGGCAATAGGACACCGATGATATATGCAAGCTATGCCTGCCAATGTTTGCAATAGAACCAACGATATTTTAGCGCAACAATATCTACCACCTATTAATAATCACTGGCAATGCTGCAAAGGTATGTAAGCTTATGCACATGTCCCAAACAGGTATGATCATAAAGTAAAGCACCTATCAGCATCATAATGCTCCTAGATGCTAGTTCTAGATGATAGTTTTTTTTTGAGAATGTGCCTTAGCATGAGTTAATTATTGGGTAATCTTTACAAACAGTATTTAAACATGAAGTAAGAAACACACACAGCTAGGTTTGTCACAAGGCGTAGTTTTGTAAGAAATTTGAGCTTGGTCTTGGAATGGTAAATGACTGAGCTCATGCACCAAAGCTCATCAAGCTTCATGAGCTAAGATCAAGCAGTTTGGGAAGGGTTGAATTTAGTCAAATTAATATAAGCTTATCAAGTTTACATTATCAATAACCATTACTTACTTTCATTCTTGGACCTATCTTGTACACCCCCATGACTTTCTCCTTGGAAACCAATGTTATTAGTGGGATGAGAGAAAAGGGGATCTGAATTGACTGGAGCACGTTGAGCCACTCATTGAGAATATCCAACTCATAGCCAGATTTGTTGAAGAATAAAGCAACGATTATAGTTGGCACAATTGCAAAGCTTCTAGTGATCAATGCTCTGATCCATTTTTTCAACCGCCAATTCAGAAATCCACCCATTATAAATTGTCCAGCATAAGTTCCAGTTATGGTACTACTAGTGCCAGCGGCTAACAATCCAACACCCCAGATATAAAGGATTGGGAAAAAATCCCCCCCAAACTTCTCTTGTAGATATTTTCCAGCATTCTCAAGACCGATATTATCTGCTTCCTTGGTACCATGAAATCCTTTTGCAAAAACTGTTGTGACAAATATATTTATCATGAAGGGCACTACCAATGCCAGGGTCGATTCAATGGAATAGTACCTCAACGCTTCACGAACTTCATATTCCTTGTCTGGGTCAATTTTTCTTGATTGCACAAGAGCAGAATGGAGGAACACATTATGGGGTGTGATAACACCTCCAACAAGACCAACAGCTTGTTTTATTGATCTTGAGCTCAGTTTTGGAACCAGAATACCTATTGTATAGAAATTACAATGTGATCAACTGAAGATAATATCACATCAAATGGCTATGTAGTAGAGTCACTTGTTGCACAGATGCCCACCACCACCATGGCTTAAACCTCGGACTAACCATCTCACTTTTGATTGTGAGCTCTTTTACAAATTTTGAATGAAAAAGGAGATTAAGAGGAAATAGACACTCACCGATTAATAGATCTTTGCCACTAGGCTCAGTCTCTACAAACATCCATGCGAAGGAGCACGCCATTGTTGTAATCAGAACCGCAAACAGAGCTTCCAACTTTCTTACCCCATAGTTCTCCATGGAAAGAAACATAAAGCTGATGACAACAATATTATGGTAAGTAGGGTGCAAGTACAACCTTTCGACCATTTAAGCAATAAATACAACAAAATCAGTGCTCACGAGTCATGATGTTAACAATAAACTTTGTAAGGTCATATAAAAACATAAGCTCTGTTTTACATGTCACTCTTATACTACTCATATTGTTGGAGACACATTGGAACATGTGCACCATATGTCCATACTAGATTAAAACCCTTGTTCAGATGGTAATACATAAAAGAAGTCCCGAATAAGAGCACTATTGTCTATGCTAAATATTGGAGAAAAAATATCATGCGTTTGTGTTGTTATTGCTCTTTGGACGCAACATAAATAGAATAACTAAACATGGTAAAGTTTGTTGATCAGTTCTTCTAGGTCACCATGTTAATACCATAAACATTTATTTATCTCATGTGCAAACAAGTGCTTTGTTAAACTATATGCAATAAATCACTAATAATCTACCACCTGGCTAGACAAAAAAAAACAGAATATTTATCACATTTTTTAATACTTTATACGGCAAATATTAGAATATAGGATTAAGTCCACTTTTGGCCCCTTAACTATTGGGTTCGTCTAATTTTGATCCTAAACTACAAAACCATCTAATGCTGGTACCCCAACTGTCAAAACCGTTCACTTGTAGCACCTCGGCGCGGGTGACGCTGTTTTGTCCAACGTGCAGCAGTTTTGACCACGCCATGCTGGCGTGGACCATGCCACGCTGGCCCCTCTCTTTCCTCCCGTCCTACATGCGTGAAGGAGGCAATGGCGGCGGCGGCGCTCGAGCAAGTTGCGGCGGCAGCGCCCGAACAGGCTACAGCACGACAGCGCGCGAGCAGGACACATCGCGCTTCCCCCTGCACCCCAGCCAAGCTTGCCGCGCCCGCTGCCTCACGCGCCCCGGCCAAGCTTGCCATGGCCATCGCCATGGTTGCACGGTGCTCGTAGGCCGCCACGACCGCCATCGCATTCCTGCTGCTCCACCCTTCACCGAGCCGAACGAGCACCACCGCCAGTTAAGCCAAGCCCTCCCGCACGCGGCGCGCTTCATCGCCGGCTCGCTGTGCCGCTGCAGCACCACAGCCATGGCGTCGCCGTCGCCATAGCTGCCTGTGCACGAACCCTGGCCGAGCCCCCTCTGCCCCAGTCGCGCCCTCCTCCATGTTCCCCTCTCCTCGGCTCCTCCCCGACGCACCTCTCCTTGGCTCCTCCCCGCCGCTGTGGCATCTCACCACCGCGGCCATGGCTGTTGGGCTGTCGGCGCACGTAGCCAGCAGGCCACGGCCCACCTCCCGCCGAGCCGCAACTCGCCCTGGGACTACGTGGACCTGGCACTGCTCGCCGGTCGGCCTCTTTCGCTGCTGACAGGTCCTGCTTGCCACTCCCCCGCCGCCTCTGACCGGGGAGTCTCCGGGGAGCAGGGCCTGTGGATCCGATAGGCCAGGGAGTAGGGCATTGCGGATCCGGCCGGCGTTGAGGTGGGGAAGAAGCCAGCCTGCACTCGTGCCAGGAGCGCCCGCACTGGGAGGTTGGCCCGCATTGAGGAGACGCTCGCGCCGGGGAGGCAGGGCCGCGTGAGGGTCAGCGCCCGCGCCAGCTATAGGGGTGGAGGCCAGCGCCGCCGAGTCAGAGGGAGCAGCGCCCGCGCCACCGCGTCGGAGAGAGGAGGCGGCGGGGGAGTGGTCGTGAGGATGGAGAGGGAGGGGTTGAGTGGATGACGCATGGGCCCCACATGTCACTAAGATGGAGGTTGGGTCCTACGTGACGGTCAACATAAGTGTGGCGTGGTCAAAACCACTCCATGTTGGCACAAAACAACCTTACCCGCGCCCAGGAGCTAAAAGTGAACGGTTTTGACAGTTGGGATACTAGCATTAGACGGTTTTATAGTTGAGAGTCAAAATTAGACGAACCCAATAGTTGAGGGGCCAGAGGTGGACTTAATCCTAGAATATAATTGGCTATGATCTTTCAAGACACGTATATGGGAAGAACCGTAGGGTCAGAGAGACAAATTTTATTACACTTATGCTACTCTCTATCTAAGAAAATTAAAATGGCACAAAGATTATCTAGCCGATGACCACCGGTCTCCAAAAAAACATTGTAGTGACAAGGCCTAAATACCCCGATCTAAACGCAGCTTAAGATCTAGCATCAAAATTGCTCAACCATTCATCATATAGGCGAAATGACTATCAGGATTTGACAACATTACATATACCAAGAAGGCGCAACCAAAGATGCTTACCAATCCAAAACGGTAATGACAACACCGGCCCAGAGCGGCAATAGGCCGTGGCTGAGGATCTTGATGGCAATGGCGCTTCCGATGACCTCCTGAATGTCGGCGCTAACCAAGGCAACCTCAGCCATCAACCAAAGCGCGTGGCGCGCCCAGTCCGGGTATTCATCACGGCACAACTCAGCAAGGTGCCTCCCCGTGGCCACCCCGAGGCGCGCAGCGTGAAGCTGCACGAGTAGGCCCATGGCTGTGGCCCACAGGAGCACCCAAAGCAGTGTGCGGCCTGCCGTGGCACCAGCCTGCAGGTCGCCCTCGATGTTTCCTGGGTCCACGAATGCGATGCTCATCAAGAAGCCAGGCCCCGAGAATAGCCACAACTTGCGCCATGAGAAGGGTGGCATGCAGCCCCCTGAGGCATAGAAGGCACCCTCTTCATTGGCGTTGCCTTTGGGGTCGCCAGAGACGGAAACAATGACCTTCTCAGATGGCTCAAACGCACGCTCCTCACATCCTTCATTGCTATCTGAGATGGCAGAGATGAACGACGATGGTCGAAGGAGGGCGCGGTGCTCGGCTTCATTGGCGGGCGGAGAGGCACTCACGGCAGGCTCTCTAGCGGCATCCGCATTGTGGTTGTCGGCCATCGAGAGGTGTGACTAGGAAGATACGCAAATTAATGCTAGTGGTCCCGCATGGTTCGTGGTGAAAACAACCGATGTTTGTTGCCGCGCATCTTAGGGACTCCTATATTTAGAGCCTATGGGACACGAGGCTATGGAAAACTAACGTGAAGAACGCTAGAAATGAGAGGACGCCGACTTAGAAAGGCGGTAGAGTAGCAAAACAACACTTATATAAGCAAAATAGAGAGGCTAATACAGAAAAATGCAAATCTGTATTTTTTTATTTACAATCAGGCCCTAATTTTCTAAACTAAAGGCGTGCTTGTTTTATACTTACATGCTTATTGATCATAGATTGAGAATTTGGAAACCATAAATTCTATTTGTAAAACCATTGACTCTTGAATCCTAATTGTTGATCACTGAGGCTATTTGGTATTCTACAATTTGACCATATACTAAGGAAAAATGAAACACCATCATTCTTATAAGGGTGCTAGATGAAATGACCGATGACATGAGGTGAATAATGATAGTGTTTAGCAATCTATAATATCATCTATCTACAAACTACACTGATCAAATTGTGTTGCTAGTTGTATGAATTTATTCAAGTTGAGTTATGGGAAGGTTGTCTTACTTGGTGTAGGGACCCATCATTTTGTTGTTGTTGCTTAAATTAAAGTCCAATAAATAGCAAGCAGTGCATCGTGAAACCATGTTGGTGCATCCGTGTGACGGTTCATACAAATGGGTAAGAGCTAGGGATGGTAACTGGGCGGATTTGGGTCGGGCAAAGTCTCCGCATACTCAAACTTGAAACCCGAACTCAAATCCGAAACTGCCCTAACACCGATTCAGGTGAAAGTCCACCCCGCCATCAAACCCGATGGATCCCAAAACCCAAAACCCACACTATATGGTAGTACAATAAAAACAATAAGGATTTTTTGGAAACATATGCATGCTATATATAACATATTCACATGTATAAACAATAGTCAACAAATAGCACACAATTCCATGACTCAACTTAGAACAAACCTAATAGCTTGCAGAAATAATTTATTAATTAAGGGCATGAGTTTTTATTCAAAATGATATATTTTGGATCTCCATTGGGTTTCCGCGGGTGGAAACCAAAACCCAAAACCTAACCCAATAAGTTTTGGGTCCCTGTATCCGAAGAATGTGGGAGGGGGCTCACCACACACAAGAATCGATGGACCCGAAACTCGCGGGCCTCAACCCAAAACTGCCCACTGCCATCCCTAGTAAGAACAATGGCAAAAAATAAGAGATGCGTGTGATATTGTAACATGCAACATTTTAAATTGTCATAATTTAAAATATCTACCATTGAGTTCATCCTATATTAATTTTTCTTCTTATTCGCTTGTTTGGAAAAGCTCTCAAGTAGGATAAATGATTATAAGTGGTTAAGAGACTTAATTTTGGTTTTGAACTGAGCTAAGAGCATGACAAGTGAAGGGGTACAAGGCCATTTAATTATGGAGTGTATTTGGCACACATTTAGTACTCCAAATTGAAGATCAACACGAAGCTCAAGATAAAGATGAAGTTTGAGTTCAAATGATGATCAAGATTGATTGGAAGAAAGAAAAGACTCAAACAAGAAGAAAGAAAAGGGCTCAAATAAGGAATCAAGGATCAAAATTGGAAACAAATTGAGTTCATCATACAACACCATCAATCAAACAAGTTATCATATTTCAATTGGTATCAATTGGTGGTCCTTTGGTGACCGGCCGACTTCGCCCTAGTGCTCGAGCTATTGTGCATGCGAGGCTATTGGGTGCCTGAGCTTTTGTGCTCATGACGCTAGTGAAGTGGTGATCTAAAAGGACATTAGTGGTATCGCATTGAAGAATCAAAAAATTTGATCAAGAGCAAGCAAGTTACCCCAGAGAAAGCAAGCTTTGGAGAATAAAGAAAGTGATCATTCCTACAAATGGTATTACCATCACAAGTGATATCATGACCAACAGTAGTTCTCACAACACGTGGTATCTATCAAGAATTGCAAGCCAACCACAACAAGAAGAGAAGCACTTGATCATTAGTGGTGTTTACTTCATATGGGTGAAGAATAGATTTTAATATTGATGATTGGTCTTCACCAAGCTATTAATAGACTTTACACTGGTACTGGAGAAATGAAATTGGAATCTACCCCTTCTTCAACATAACAAAGGTTTCATTGTAATATGTATGATCATTTCATTCCTTACTAATATGTGGTTGGTGCATATAGAAACATGCTTATTAGGGTCATGCATAACAAATAAAAGTTTAAATTCATGCTCTATTACTATAGCTTGAATTGAATGTTTCATCTAGTGGTATTATATGAATTTGTTAATGAGATATTGAACCCAAGTACTTGATCTATTTTGGATTTCTATACTCAAGAATTAAATATAAAAATAATTTAACCTCAGTTTGAGCCTTCATCCATCCATTTCTTGTCACATTGCTCATGCACATTTGAGGGTCTTCATCACTTCATAGTTTGAGCATGTCAACCTAGCTTGAGCTTGTGGCTGAATCAATTCACCTATGGTTATCAGCCATAGACTTCAAGTCACTTACTTCTATAGATCCAACAATGATTTATCCTCCACAACGATATGGCTTCGTAGATTGACTAGTACCTTAACTAAGTGCAAGTACTCTCTTCTTCGACCTATCTAGGGTGAAGATAGCAAGACAATGAGTAAATATCAAGAAAAATTTCAAAACTAAACGCGTTTAAAAACTTTTTACGATAAAAAACATAAGACACAAACCAACACAAAATGCATGGTATGAAAATGCATTCATATATCATATTTTTGTTCCATACAACATCTGTAAAGCTCATTTAGACATCGACTAGAATGTTTTTGAGAAATTTCAAGATTATTTTGATATTTTCTCTTTTTCTTAGATTTGAGGTTATAGAGATATTCTCATGAGCACTAAATATTTTATTTAGATTCTTCGTATCCAAATATATCTCTATATTTTCTCAAAATCGTTAGTAGCTTAGATATTTTTTAAAAACCTTGTAAAGCATTTATCGAGCCTTTTAACTAAAACACTAAAAACCGAAAACCACTTCAAACCGTGAGAGAAAGGTGATTTGAATGGTTTTGAGAGTTCAAAAGATAAGATGTCTAGTTTTAAAGTTTGAAAATTAAAATTAGACTACAGTCTATTGGCAATAACTCAGGTTAAGGCCCTGTTTGGCCTGCGCCTACGCGTGCCGAGCCGCATCAGGGGCAGCACGGAAAGCGCGGCGTCCGATTTCAGTTATGTTTGTTTCCCTCGGGTAAAAGTTTAGTCCCGTCACATCAAATATTCAGATACATGCATAGAGTATTAATTATAAATTAATTACGAAACTAAATGCACAGATTGAGGCTAATTTACGAGATAAAATTTTTAAGCCTAATTAGTCCATGATTTGACAATGTGATGCTACAGTAAACATGTGCTAATGACGGATTAATTAGGCTTAATAAATTTGTCTCGCGAATTACTGAGGACTTCTGTAATTTGTTTTATTATAACTATCCGAACACTTGATGTGACACTCTTAACTTTACTCCCACACGCCTCTTGTCGCCAGATTTTTGGCTGAGGGCCTGTTTAGTTCTCAAAAATTTTCACCCTAAAATGTCACATCGAATCTTGCGGCACATGCATGGAGTACTAAATATAGACGAAAAAAAACTAATTGCATAGTTGGGTGAGAAATCGCGAGACGAATCTTTCGAACCTAATTAGTCCATAATTAGACACTAATTACCAAATACAAACGAAAGTGCTACAGTACAAACAGTAGCCAAACCCAAAAAAAAATGGGAACTAAACGCGCCCTGAGTTCAGGCGTGGAAAATTACTTACGTGCAGTTGAGAACCTGTGGTGGCGTCAGATGGCTGGGAAATAACCAAACAGCAGCCGAAAGTGCAGCATGGGAGGAGCGGCCAACTCTGGCGACCAAACACGCCGGTAAGAAATGTGTCACCCCACTCACGAGCACACGCCCTTGCGTGAGATCAAAAAAAAAAGCACACGCCGGCAGATGTTATTGGGCCGTACCGCGCTGTTTGGGCGGCACACAACAGCAGGCCCATAGCTCACGTGGACGAGCAGCAGACGTGGGTGTCATCCACGCAATTCCACCCCCACCCGGGTCCAACCGCGGCCGTCCACGAGTTCCCCGGCCGGGCCCGCCCCGTCAGCGACCCAATCTCCCCGCGAGTATCCGGGCGCGGCTTGGCTACCACGCGGGGCGAAGCGCACCGAGGGAGACCGAGCGAGACAGCCAGCCAGCAGGGCAGCTGAGGGAGAAGCCTATCTTCTATCACCACCACCTCGGGGCCCCGAGGGGAAGAGGAAGCGGAGGGGAGGCAGGAATCGCCCCGCCCGCGCCCCCCATCCGCCCGCCTTCGGCGACGGCCCACATGCCGACCGCCTACAGCCTCCGCGCGCCGCCCTCCGCCGCCCCCGCCGCAGCTGCCGTTTGCCCCGGCGGGTGGAGGGGCCGCCCGCCGGAGGAGGGTTGTCGGGGTGGCGGCCGCGTCCGCGTCGCCCTTCGACGAGCTGCACGCGCGGGGGAGGCCCGTACATGGACCCTCCAAGGTGAGCCTTCGCCTACCTCGGGGACATCGCCCGAACGACCCGCCCCCCCCCAATTAGTATAGTTGGTGGTAGTATCGATCGAATACTACTGCATGATTAGCATCCATGGATTTCGTTGGCCCCGATTTTGAGGTTTCTATGCTGGAAAGCAGCTACCCGTAATCATTTCCTGTTTGAAATTTGACGTCTCATGAAATTCCGGGCCTTTGGGACTTGGGTCAGGAATAAGATCTGCGTTCCAGCAAACGGTTCATATTGTGATGACTACCTCCTGTGATAGATCATCGCTCGCAGCTCATGTTCGTCTGTTAATTGAATAGAATACCCGCAAATAAGGTGGCAACGTTACTGCCAAGTAGTCTAATACACGACACGAGGTGCTTAGAAGCGGCTATTTGTTAGCTGCGTTCACTGGTCATCAAGAGAAACAAGAATTCGACGCTCGTGCAATTCTAGTTATTGTCGAGGTTTAGTTTCTGTACATAAAGTTGTGGTTTGCGCCACTCAGAAGGGGGAGGGGGTTCTGTAAGAGTGTACACTGTGAAGCAATGGAGGTTTAGCTGCATCTGCATGGACATAACTTTAGGCTCGGTAAACGTCAGCAACAATGGTCCTTTAGACATATGTTGGCTGTATGATGCCTGCCTGGATCATGAGGCTGATGACAAATTTTTTGTTTTGAGCTCCATTTTTCACCTTCTTTTTGAGGTCAAGGTTGTGATTTAGGAAGAATGATTGCATACTAACAGCCTGCTGTCATAGGGGTCATATAGCATTGCAAAAATAAAAAAACTGTTTTGTGAGCCCCATGTGACATGAGGAACCATGGCGCTTAAGGATTCAGTGTTCCACCACTGTTTTTGTTTATTGCTAGGTCGAAACATTATATACTGCTAACTATCTTAGCAGTAACGTTGGTACTACTGGCTAATACTGAGCTAAGTGGCCCTTAACATAGCAAACTCTTTATTTGTAATTCGTACTCACTGAGCTAATTTTTGGACTGAAGATTTATGACCTTCAACTTTAATATCAAAGTTCTTTTGGATAGCTCAAGATGATTTGTCCATATTGAGCTGGGTCATTCTCAGCATTGCGGCGTACTATGTTTCTGTAGACGTTTGCTTCTGTATATCAGTTCACAATGTATTTGTCAGATGGAGCAACCTGTGTCCTGTCATCTATTCTAGCTAAATGTAGCAGCCGTTGTTATGACCAGTAATAATTTTTCTAAGAAATTTTGAAATACTGTTTGCCCATGGATCATTTCTTAATGAAATTGTGGGATTCTTTGGGGAGGATTTTTTACTGATTAGCAGCTATTTGTCTTGTAGGGATTAATTGCATGTAATACATTCTGACTAAATGATTTTGAGCATTGGTTTATAGACACTTGCTAGGGGTGACAATAATACATATGTTCAGAACTATTATATAAAGTGCCTATAAACTTCCTTGATATAACTACTATATGGACATTCATTACTTTTTCATCTATTAAAAGACACTTGGACATTGTTTTGGTCATGCTGTAAAGTTGGCTTATGATGTGTTTGGTTCTCTGTAGAAATCCAGGCTCTGGAACTTGATCCAGGATATAGAGCCCCTGGACCTAAGTGTCATTCAGAAAGATGTTGCTCCTGAAACAGTTGATGCAATGAAGAGGACTATTTCTGGCATGTTGGGTCTGCTTCCATCTGATCAGTTTCGTGTCGTTGTAGAAGCCCTTTGGAATCCCTTCTTCAAGTTATTGGTATCTTCAATTATGACTGGGTATGTTTTATAGTTCATAGTTTTTTCTATGATGGTGATTATGAAAAGTATTTCTGAGACTTGGTTGCATAATTAGGCACATGCTTGTTTGAACTGTTGTTGAATTTGGAATTCTGAGTCAACATCTGTTACCTTTCAACGTGTATCAGTCAATTAAATGACATGTGAAACTGATGGCAATTGGCAACTCTTGCAGTCTTGCTATTTATTAGTTCAGCAGGACAGCATGAACCTAGAAATGATGAACAATTGTGTCATATGCCTTTCTGACATGTTTTGTATGAGAAAGAGGCCTGTCGTTATCAGATGATTAAAATATGGTAACATTCTAGTGATGTTTAGTAGTTTCCATGGTAGTGACATTTCTTCTGCTTGTACCACTTCTTGGTGGTTGCTGGTTCTTTCGCTTCTTTTAGGTCAAGTAGAGAGTTGGAGCATATTCTGCTGTCTGGAGTCAAGTCATTCTGCTTGTGTGGCTTCCTTTTTCCATAAGAGTTTGCATGGTATGGTTTAAATATGTTGATCTGGCTAGTTTTCCTAGGCTAATAGTCACATCACAAAGTTAGCTGCGCTTGATAGCTGCTTCTGAATTAACTGTTAGTTTCTTTTTTCCACTTTCCCAAAACAAAGAAATGAAAATTCCTGCTCAATAGTTTAGTTAATTCTGAATATTAGCTCTAATAAACTCTGTCCGAGATCCTGTCTTATTAAACATATGAACCTACTTCCCATTCCCATGTGATAACTCTTATTATATTATTTTCTGTAATAGCTACAGCTATGTAATTTATTAATTGAAAAGCTGAGATAACAAGAAGCAATGCCTTGTTTCATGGAAATACAGTTCACATGTATACATTGTACGAAACTTAAATCTCTACTTTGTTTTTGTGTCCAGGTATACTCTGCGAAATGCTGAATACAGGCTTTCTTTTGAAAGAAATCTAGAACTGTCTGAAGAAGTTGCAGAATGCCCAAAAAGTGATGTCACTGAAGATAATCATCATAACATCAATTTGGGTAGACCTGTCACTATTTTTAGATTATCAGAAGACATGCCCCAGGACCCTGGAAAAACTGATGAAGAATCATCATATGAAAATATGGGAGAAGAGCTCGGCGACTTAACACCACAGGCAGAAGAGTACATTATTCAGATGCAATCTCGTTTGGATGCCATGAAAAAGGTAACTATAGTCTGTTGCTTTATTAGCCAAACCATTTCATTTACTACTACGGTTCATTATTTGGCATTATATCTACTGCAGTCATGCATTTATTAGTTCATAAATATGGGTGATGCATATATATACCAGAAGAGGAAGATCAGAAATAACATGGAAGTTATACACAGGATTACTTCTGTAATCCAGTTGAACTTACCCACTATATGTTTGTAGTTTGTACTTCTATCTGAACTTGTGAACGTCACCTTTGTGAGATTTATGGAACACATCGATAGGTTGTTGAGAATATTTTGCATACCGTACATACAATTTTGTTTTCTTTGCCATCATTTATTTCACTTGTTCTTGCAAATATGTTGTGATGCTTACGGAAATCATAGCAGAGAGACGGGGATATTGATGAAGATGTTAGCCATAGAATCAAAGCAGGGTGGATAAAGTGGCGGCAAGCATCTGGTGTCCTATGTGACAAAAGGGTACCACAGAAGCTAAAAGGCAAGTTTTATAGGACGGCGATTAGACCTGCTATGTTGTATGGTGCAGAATGTTGGCCTACGAAAAGACGACATGTTCAACAGATAAGTGTCGCGGAAATGCGTATGTTGTGTTGGATTTGCGGTCATACAAGAAGGGATCGAGTTTGGAACGATGATATACGTGATAGATTAGGGGTAGCACCAATTGAAGAAAAGCTTGTCCAACACCGGTTGAGATGGTTTAGGCATGTCCAACGGAGACCTCCAGAGGCACTGGTGCGTAGTGGAATCCTAAGCCAGGATAGTAACGTGAAGAGAGGCAGAGGAAGACCGAAGTTGACTTGGGTAGAGGCAATAAAAGGAGATTTGAAATGATGGAATATACCCAAAGACTTAGCCTTAGATAGGAGTGCTTGGAAGACAGCTATTCACGTGCCTGAACCTTGATTGCTTCTGCTGGGTTTCAACTCTAGCCTACCCCAACTTGTTTGGGACTTAAAGGCTTTGTTGTTGTTGTTGCTTACGGAAATCATAGTTTATTGATTGTATCTAACGAATCCATAGCTTGCTCCCAGCAAAATAAGCAATGTAGATTATTTCTCTCTCGGTCATGAGATTATATGGTAGAATTTTATTTGATTGATCAACATGCTACTAGAGAAGCCAAGCTCAAAGTGCCATAGCTCGTCTTGAGCTCAGCACCAGTTTTGGTTGAATCGAACACAAGTTTGAGCTGAGCTGAAGCAAGGCTAGGTTGGTGTTCAAGCTTTGTGCGCTCAAGATCAGCTCTGCCAACGCTGGAGCTCAACTCAAGCATGGGTAGGACATGTATCTCGTTACTCTTGTACAGTTGCACATCATAAATGGGAACAAAAGCCCAAGCAGGGCACAAGTAAGCTCAGTGTGCAAGCTTGGTACCATAGATTGGGTTAGTCTTTGGCAAACTGCTCAATCTTCGCAGCCTTCTTGCAGGCCCAAGCTTCCCTCAATGAACAAATTGAGCAAGGGCAAGGGTCAAGCCGAGCTGGAATATCTTGTTGAGCTAGACAATATTTTTCCAGCTCAACAAAAATATATTAAAAAAATCATGTCATCTTAGTTCACTTGTTGAAAACGTTATCTTTTATGGTCAATCGGGTTTCATTTGGGATCTATTCAGTTGGATATCACTGATTCAATCTGTGCATCTTTTCTCTCCAATAGATTTAATAGGACTATGTATACGGATGGTCTTGGTTATTAATATGGCAATCTAATCCAATATAGTAGCATACATATAGGCTTTCCTGCAAACAAAGAGACCAAGACTATAACATTACTTAACCAATTTTACATGTCCAAAACGCACCGACAAATAGGGCGTACCCAGTGCAGAGAGCTCCCGCTCTGTGCGGGGTCTGGGAAAGGGTGTCAGTGGCAAGCCTTACCCTCGCTTGTGCAATGCGAGAAGACCGCGACTCGAACCCGGGACCTTCCGGTCACAGGCGGTAAGACTCTACCGCTTGCACCAGGCCCGCCCTTCAAAACACACCGACAAATGGTTTACCATAATTATCAGCTTCAAGTCACATACTGGAAGCTACCATATATTTATGATTTCTCTGATTTCAAGTTTGCAAGACAAGGGTACAAAGAAATATCTCAGATGTGGCAATATCCAAATAACCATGATCTCATAGTTTGTACATATCCTGTGAGATCCCCAAACCAATGGTTTCTGAGGGACACTTACCCACCATATCTGACTCATAAAAAATGCACTCCAGTTTCTAATCCGACAAGTATCAAGGCAGACATTTAGACGCACTCTGGGCTGAACAATCATGGATGAAAAAAAAATTCTAATCCAATTGTACCTCTATATTTTGTGTAGTTGGACCTGTAAAAAAGGATTTATCATTTTGAATCTGACAACCTGTGTTTGTGTCATATATTCGAACTTGCCAGGCTTATTGCTTTTGTTGACATTGCAGGAGTTACATGATCTCAGGAGAAAGAATTCTGCCCTACAGATGCAACAGTTTGTTGGGGAGGAAAAAAATGACTTGCTGGACTATTTGAGGTCACTAACACCAGAGAAGGTATGTTCTAAATGGAGATCTCATGGCTCATGAGAAGGGTCATTTTTTCGATACATTTCATCTGCTTAATGAATCAATTATGACCAAATAGTCTAACACAAATCCCAAGTGCAAAACATAATTAGAAAGTTCTCTCCTGCTCAGTTGCCTAACCTAGCTACTTTGAACAGGTTGCTGAACTATCAGAGTCTACATGTCCCGGCGTGCAAGAAGCAATTCATTCTGTGGTTCATGGTCTGCTTGCCACTCTTTCTCCCAAGATACACTCGAAGGCCCCTCCACTGCTAGATAACACTTCTGGGGGTGTCCTAAACCTTGGGGGCGAGGATGATGACCGTGCAGAACTTGTTGAGAATGCTTCCCTCCCATTTCAGCCCCTAATATCTGTTCCCCGTGATTATCTTGCACGTTTGTTGTTCTGGTAATGTGAAGCTGACTTACTAGGCATTCTTTGTTCTTATACCATGTAGCAACTTACCACCTATTTTTTCTATTGTTTAGGTGCATGCTGCTGGGTCACTACATCCGGGGTTTGGAGTACCGGTTAGAGCTTGCTCAGCTTCTGCGAATATCCTGCGACGTGGGTTCTTTCTCTGGTGGCGATGATCATGTTGCTTGAGGGTACCACGTTTACTGATATTCCTCACCGGGAAGAATGGAAAGACCTGGCCAAGGAATGGGCCAAAATGGCAGAGCCGCAGAGGTGGCCGTTACACTGCGTTCCCTGTCAAAGGATGCCCTAATACAGGGGTCACTGCTGAGCTATATAGTTGTAGTTCCTGTAAATTCAGCAAACAGTCACTCGGGTGTAAAGCTAGTGTTACATATGCACGCGAACTACTTTCTTATTCTTCCTTTGATGTTGTGCCGTACAAAAGAGAATTTGGTGGTTCGTTGGTGTTTATCTCGTGGTAGCATGATAGACATCCTTGTATTCTAGTTGTAATGTATCTGGTGGTTGTGATTGTTGTCCAATGTCCATTTAGTTCTTGTGTCTCTTCTTGGCTCGAATAAAGCCTAACTTCTCATGTTTTGGAGGTCACAAGTTCATACGTTCATTGGAATTGTACTTAGACTAGTAACATGGCCCCTTGAGTGAAATGAAAGTTGCAACTAGTTCGGTTAAGGAAATGGCTCGTACTTTCTCTGATCAAATGTGGAGCGTATTTATTAGGTATATAAGTCTGTTATGCTTGTACTAAGTCAAAAGAGGCCTATTTTTCTGTAAAAATAAATTGATTCATGTGAAATTCCTACGCTCTAAAGAGGCTCTAACGTGACTTGAGAACTCATACAAATCAGAACAAAGGCAGATTAAAAAATGTTGTACTTGCAACTGTTGATCCGGACAACAATTCTATCATATCATAGGGAAATATGTGATGGAAACTATATCTTTGGATGGGCTATAGAAAACTACTCTTTATTGGCCCTTATATGGAGCGCACTCGATCGATCGCATGCCGCTTTAATTTCCACATCAGAAGCGAAAACGAAAGCGAAACTTGGATGAGGTCGTCAGCTGCTGAAAGCCTGCTCCTGCTGCACAGACGTTGGGTGCTGATGAGCCTGCAGCTGGTTGTAGCATCCACCGGCCTGGTGGTCTTCAGCTTAGGGGTGCTCCGGCGCCAGCACGTATGGGAACGGCAGATAGCACTCTCCTGAGGTCTGAGGATAAGCAAACGGCTTCCGCCTGCAAGTGGTGCCGGGGTCGTGCTCGTGCATGGCTTCCGGAGGGAGGAGGTCTCCGGTTGTAGAGGTCATAGAGCGGCAACAGCGCAGGCGACGGCCACAGTGTGTTGTGCGACGATGGCGAATCCAGAGGCTGAAAAATGGAATAGACTTAGGTTCTGTTTGGACCGCGGTCTTCCACCACGTGGTGTCGTAGACGAGCGGTGGTGAGAGAGCCACGATACGTAAAATCATATTTGTACTTCATTTTCACGGTGACTTAGTCGGACATAATGAGAAATATCGAGCATACTACATGGCCTTCGGCGCTATTGTGAGCTTCCTTGAACCGCCACCGCGAGATACGGCCGTCTCCAAATAGGGCTTCATTCAACCTGTTAGTAGATATCTAACCTAGAAAAAAAAAACTAGACGCTTTTTTAATAAAAAGAATATACATCTAAATTAAATTAAAGTTGAAGAGGACTTGAAGTTCATTTACTATAGCACAAGTAAAACGAGGTAGTCAAATAAGAAAGTAAAGGTGTTAGTAGATATAAATGATTTTTTTTCAAAATGGTAGTATTACTAAATTTGTTTTAGATGAAAAGCTTTGCTTATTGTGAAAATAATGAGTCTTTTTGTTGGATGTCTAACCCCTGTCTAGATCCGAGGGCCACTTTTGGTATGTTTGGTTGCTTGGTTGGACTCCTTAGCCAACGTAGCATGGCAAGACTGAAATGACAGCTTGTTTCCCACTAGCCAGGTCTGGCTAGTGTTCCACTCACCTCCTGGTCTCTCCCTCTTCACTCCTATCACCGCTCGCCACCGCGCCTCCCGCCCTTCTCTTCCTCCTTGTTTCCGGGCCCTCCACGTGACCTCTGTCGGGCCAAAGAGCCCCATGCGAGCTCAACCGGACACCCCGCACCCGCACACGCACGCGCGAGCTCTGTAGGGATGGCCCCGCACGAGCTCCGCGCTCCTGCAACCCTCCCAGCGCGCATGCTCTATTGGGCTTGGGCCCCATGCTGCCGGGCCATGTGCAAGTGGACAACCAAAGAAGCAAGGAAGGAGTAGCAGAGCAGCTGGAAGTTGTGCTCAAGGAAGATGGCGGCAGAGGTGGGACGTGATGGAGCTGAAAATCACCCTCACAAAGATGAGGTGATTCTACCAAGACCATACAGAAGACCAACCACGAAGGTAATATAGGTAAACCAAACAGCACAACTTGCGTTACCCTATGTTGGCTTAGATTAACCAAGTTTGATAGAGAAACACAACCAAACAGACCCAATGTATATACCAATATCAAGCTAACCAAACAGGCCCGTCGTCTCCTGTCCGCACCACACATCCCTGCCACCATCCACTCCCTCCATCCCCGCGCGTGCCCCCATCTCGCACCGTGCCGCTCCCTCATCCCGCGCGCGCTGCGTCCCCTGCCATGCCGCGCCCCATCTCCCGCACGCGCCCCACTCCACCTCACGGCCTTCTTCACCGGAGCAACCCGCCGTGGCCTTCTCCACCGGAGCGGCGAGCTCTACACCGGTGAACTCCGCACGCCGATGAGCCTCCGTTCCCAAGCATGAAGGAGATGTTACGCTGAAAGCGCATGTTGCAAACATATGTTTCAGGTGTTTCAGAGGTATGTTGCAAGTGTTTCGCAAACGGTTTTGCAAAAGTAGATCGAGATGTTGCACATGTTGCGATGGTTATGCATGTATATTTCAAGTGTATGTTCAAAATGTTTCATCTGTATCGGACGTATGTTGCAAGTGTTTTTATCTAGATGTTGCAAAAGTAGATCTAGATGTTGCATATACATGCATGTTGCAAGCGTATGTTTTAAGTGTTTCATATGTCTATTGCAAGTGTTTCATCTAGATGTTGCATATGTTTTGTAATGTTTTTCAGGTGTTTTTGCAAGTGTTTCAGACGCATGTTTCAAGTGTTTCATTTGTCTTCTTTTGTATGTTGCAACTGTTGCATCGGGATGTTTCAAAAGTAGATTGTGTGTTGCACAGGAGATGCGTGTGGAAAGCGGCTGGCGGCGTGGGCCCACTGCTGGGGCGCTCGCTCACAAGCCCAACGCGTGGGGTGCTCGCTCGCTCGCTGGGCGGGTACCGTTTGACGCTAGCGCCCCGGATCGGACTAAAGATGGCAGTGGGCGTGATGCCCGCGGATACTACCTTCTTATTCCCGCGCCCGCCAGCTAAATCTCTTGCCCGCGCCCGCGACCCGCCACGGGCAACAAACCACGCGCGCGCCCTCCATCCGCGGGCATGCCCGTGTGCCCGTCAGGTTGAGCATATACATAAACCATAGTGCATTACAAGAGATATGAAGATACATATTCACAACAAATCGTGTATATATACATATATTTGCTTATAGGTCCCATATGTTAGACCTGTGGAGCGGGTCTGGCGGATAAGCGGGCGAGGATAGCAAATTTCTTTGCCCGCGAAGAACTATCCTCTGGGTTCAGGATGGTGCCCGCGCCCGTGCCCGCGGGCAAGAAGTGGTGCCCGTATCCTTGCCCATCGGGTTCCATGCCCGCGGGCATGCGGGCATTCTGTGCCCGTTGCCATGTTTAGATCGGACGTCTGGGTGCTAGCAAGTCCGATAACTAATATAATTAGATAAGCCGCTGAATATATTTAATAAACTTAATTGGGCAAATATTGCTAACATTTTTTCTATAAATATAGTCTCCGTTCGCTTCGCTGAGAAAACAAGACGAAACACTGTTCCGGTTGAATTGTTGTGAGAGGAAAACACTGTTCCGACTGAAAAAATAAGCTCAAAAAGACGGATTATAAGAGAAGCGAACATGGCCATAATCAAACTTAAGAAATTTTGATCAGTACAAATCTCATAGCATAACTCCTTTTAGGACTGTACAACATTAGTCCTACAGCTCATTTACCTGCAAGCAGCGGTAAAAAAAAACAGAGAGGGAAACAAAAAAAAAAAGAAAAAGAAAAGAGAAATAAAGTCCCGCGTGCCAGGTCAACGACGAGGCCTGCGGCGTGACGCCGAATCCCCAGCCAGGCAGCCAGAGCCGAAAAAAGAGCATAGCGCCAGCGCCACGCACGGTCAGCCACTGAAATCAAATCACAAAAATCAAATGGAACTCCGCCCGCGTCACTCTCTGACAGCCCCCAAAACTCCCGCGCTCTCGTCCCGGCAGGCGGGTGGACGCCGCGGGGCCTCGCGCCATCCCCCGAAACGCTCCGAATTTTAAAAAAGGAAAAAACTCCCCAATCTTTCCCTCGCTCCCAACACGGGCGGCGTGTCGCTGCCAAAACTCGAACGGATTTCCAAATCGAGGCCGCGGCGATCGAAACCGGGAACCCAAGGCACCCGAGGCTGCGCGGAGGGCTTCCCTCCAACTGGAGCTCTCCGAAATCCTCCGAATCCAAAAATAATGGCGGCCTCCTCTCCCACCCATTCCCACCGCCCCGCCCGCTACTTAACCGCTCGCCCACCACTCCTCCACCAGTCCACCCTGCTCCGCCCTCCGTGCTCCGGCGCCTAGCAGCCTGCTCCTGCCCCCCGCCCCCACCGCCGCCGTGCAGGGACAGCCGGAGCAGGAGCAGCGCCGCCCGCCTTTACCTTCGCCCATGGCCGACAAAGAGAACTCCGCCGCCGCCGTCGCCGCCGCACCGCCGCGCCTCACCCGCGCCGCAGCCAAGCGCGTCGCCGCCGTCACATTCGTGGCCGTCGCCGCCAAGCGCAAGCGCCTCGCGCTCACCCAGCTGCCCACGCACCCCAACGCCGTGCACGACGACGACGACGGCTACGATAAGCCCGCCAGGAAGCAGCAGCACCTCCTCCTCCCCGCCGCCGAGCCCAAGCCTAAGGCAGCGCCCGCGCCTGCCGCCGCCTCTGATGACGAGGAGGGGGAGGATCCGCAGCTCTGCAAGCCCTACGCGTCCGACATCTACTCCTACCTCCGCTCCATGGAGTCGCAGGCCAAGCGCCGCCCCGCCACGGACTACATCGCGGCGGTGCAGTTCGACGTCTCGCCCAACATGCGCGCCATCCTCGTCGACTGGCTCGTCGAGGTCGCCGAGGAGTACAAGCTCGTCTCCGACACGCTCTACCTCACCGTCTCCTACATCGACCGCTTCCTCTCCGCCAACGCACTGAACAGGCAGAGGCTGCAGCTCCTCGGCGTCTCCGCCATGCTCGTCGCATCGTAAGCAACCGATCCGTTAAAATCTCATTCTTCCACAGTTCAAGAACCGAGCTCCATTTCTCATGTGCTGGGTCCGATTCGAATCGATGCAGCAAGTATGAGGAGATCAGCCCGCCCAACGTGGAGGATTTCTGCTACATCACCGATAACACCTACACCAAGCAGGAGGTGTGTGTGCTCGTCCTCTCTGTATGATTTGAACGTGATTTGTCTCCGGATCTTGCCACTGATTTATCGCAAAATGTTAATTGATCTGTGCTTCGGGATCTGTAGGTAGTTAAGATGGAGAGTGATATACTGAATGTCCTCAAGTTTGAGGTGGGCAATCCTACTCCCAAGACGTTTCTGAGGTAGATCACAAACCAAATCAATCTGAAGTGCTATCCCAATCCTTGTTTGCCAGAATGAATCTGTTTCTAAATTTTGTGTGCCCTTTACTTTCTGTTTCCTAGGATGTTCATCAGATCTGCCCAAGAAGACAACAATAAGGTACTTTCGCCTGTGAGATTTGTTGCATTTCAACAATAAAGTCTTTCCGTTCGAATACCCGCTGCTTGTGTACGTCGTTGTCTGATCCATTATGTTGTGATTCATATTGCAGTATCCTAGCCTCCAGCTGGAGTTCCTGGGTGGCTACCTTTGTGAGCTGAGCTTGCTGGACTACAGTTTGCTTCGCTTCTTGCCGTCACTTGTTGCAGCCTCGGTGGTGTTTGTTGCAAGGCTCACCCTTGATCCACACACCCATCCCTGGGTATGATATTGATCTGCTCGATCCAAATCATTCATGTCTCATTGGTTACCAAACACCACCAACTCATTTTGTTATGTACGGTTGCAGAGCAAGAAGATGCAGACGCTAACCGGCTACAAGCCATCTGAGTTGAAGGACTGTGTTGCTGTCATCCACCGTTTGCAGCTCAACCGGAAATTTTCATCCATGATGGCGATCCGGGAAAAATACAAGCAACACAGGGTAAGCATGGGCCTTGACAGCCGCACATGGTTTTACTGTCAGATCGTTTGCAAAATTCTAGTGTCCTAACTGTGGAATAAATCTCTTGAACAGTTCAAGGGTGTATCAGCTTTGCTACCTCCTGTTGAGATCCCAGCATCATACTTACAAGAAACTGAAGGAGTAGGTGTTCCTGGATAATCTAGTGGAGTAAAGCCAAGCACACAGCTTTCCTCAAGCAAGATGTGCAATGGCTAAGCTCTATTTGGCTGATACATAAGTTGGCTGATAAGCTGGCTGAAACTATTTTGTTGTGGGAGAAAAATACTGTAGATTCTAGTTGATAAGCCGCTTGATAAGTTCAAGTGAATAGGGCCGCGCATCTAGGCTCGGGTAGGAGCATTCAGAGTTGATTTGTTTGAAGTTCAAGCGCAATATAAGGCTAGGCGTGTCACATTTTGTACTTGTGTATCATAATTATACATTACAACCAGGTGCCTTTATTTGTTGGGGGCACAATTCCAACATTTTCATTTATTGGCTCTTGCTCCATTTTCTCATCTTTTATTCATATAGTTCTAGTACAGAACAAAGTATCTAGTGGTCAGTTATATCAGAGGGTAGCTTATGGATGTATTAGACCTTGCCATCTTGGTAAAACACATGCAGAAAGCCAGAAAGTGATATGCTCTTGACACAAGAAATGTGTCCTGGTAGACCTGGAACAGCTGTGAATGATCACAATGTGCACCTTTACTGTTAATTGGCCACACATGTGAATGATCAAAATTTCTAACACAATGCACACCTTCACTATTGTTACTAGGAAAATTGGTCACATCTGAATGTTGGAATTCTGAATGTCTTGAAATGCTTGTTGCCATTCATGATTAGCACATACAGTTCTTTAGGTTAGTATTACTTGCTATATAGTATGCTTATTTCGGATGCAGTAACCAGTAAGTGATCAGTAATTAACAAAATCTAAAAGTTGAGTGTTTATCCTCTTTAGCCTGATTGCAGCAGCTTTCTTAACTATGTGGCTTTATCAAGTGGCTACTTAACATATTGTTGACTTCAATTTCTTAATTTCAATGATTCCACTTTTGTTTTCTTTTTTTCGTGAATGTGCTGTGGATGCAGCCCCTGCGTGGATGGTTCCATTTTCATGTTAGGTAATTCTACTTCTGTTCAGCCATTTGTGTATTGGGCTATTGGCACTATCCATCAAACAAAAGTACAACATATCTGCTCAACTGTATAGTGAAATCAACAGTTTGGTTATTTGTATAGTGTGCCCTGTCTTCAGACTGATCTCTGAAGTCTGAATTCTTACCAATATGCTTTGTTACCAAGGGAAGCTGTTGAAAATGTTGCTCGATCACCCAAAGTGATCTCTCTCTCTCTCTCTCTCTCTGTGTGTAAATAATACAAACTTCTAAGCATAATCGATTTCACATTGGATGTAGTAGTTTCAACATTAATGATATTAATACACCCTTTCCATTTTTTATGTCACCTACAGCTTACTACGTGAGCAAATAGACTGTAAAGTTCTAATAAGGCAGGTGGCGAATTTTTTTGGGAAATGGTATTGTAGTACTTTCGTTATTATTTGACAATTAGTGTCCAATCATAGTCTAATTAGGTTTAAAAGATTCGTCTCGTGAATTTCGTCTAAACTATGTAATTAGTTTTATTTTTTATTTATATTTAATGCTTCATGCGTGTGTCCAAAGATTCGATGTGACGGAGAATCTTGAAAAAATTTGCAAAATTTTGGGAACTAAATAGACACTTAGGCAAAATTGGTTTGCTCCCATCTGCATTCGTCCACTTAGTCTTGCCTAAGCTTTTGGAAATTGGAATTCTTATCAAGTCCATTCATGCTTAATGTAGCTTACTTCAATACAAGCTTAATTCATCAAGTAATTGCCTAGTTAGGCTACCTCATATCCGGCTCGTTCGGCTTCTTTTTTCAGTCGGAACAGTGTTTTTCTTTTACAATATTTTAGCCAGAACATTGTTTTTCAGTTAAGATTCAGCAAGCTGGGCCTATAGACTCTTGTGCTAGCTCAATTATCTCCCATAGAACCTCAAGTCTTGAACCTCCCATCCCATGTCACACTACGTTGCTTGAAAAGTTCATATGATTGTGATATACAGTGATTTTAAAAATAATAATTCCAGAATATATCAGGATACTCCCTCTAATCGTAAATGAGTGAAGCTTTGGGCCACAAATACATCACAGTTCTGCAATTTGTGTTTACATTAGAGAAGCAAAAGATAGAACACTAGCTATCGTGTGCCCCTACATCTGCTCCGGGCAACCGATCTCCCCTACAGGTTTGCTTCTCGCCAACATTCAACACTACTTGCCCCCTGGCAAATTCAGATTTCAAAGGCAATATTTTCTGAAGCAAACTTTATTCCTGCCATCATGTACTTGATACCCATCCATGAATCCATCCACCTGCAAAGTTTCTTTTCTAATTTGGTTTTCCCTTTTCATATATTTTTTCTTTCGCTCAACACTGTGGCTTTGATCTTGAGAGAAAAGTACAATATGCAGAATTTCTGTAGCACCATGTCCCTCCAGTCGTCAGTTTCCCCTGTATCCCATTTCTGTAGCACAATGTGCTCTGGACATTTCAGTTATCCACAATATTCTATCCAAAAAGTTCACCAAATTTAGCCCGTGTTTAGTTCCCAACAAAAATCCCAAAAAGTGCTACGGTACCCATCACATCGAATCTTGCGATACGTGCATGGAGTATTAAATGTAGATGAAAAAAAAAACTAATTGCACAGTTTGGTTGGAAATTGAGAGACGAACGTTTTGAGCTTAATTAGTCCATGATTGAACACTAATTGTCAAATAAAAACGAAAGTGCTACAGTAGTCCAAATTTCAAACTTCAACCAACTAAACACGCGCTTACCAAAGCCATGAGTTTACTTCTAGTATCAACATTTATTCGTGCTTTGGATTTGCCTTCATAGTTCAAATATGAAAAATATACTCCTACGGAATCTGCCGAAGCGGAGCGGATCTGCCCCCGCGTCGCTCCCATGCGGGCGACACGGGCGGCCCTCCCCCGTCACCTAGCTGCCGCCCCTCGTCACCCCTTCTGCTGCGCCACCGCCGGAGCTGGTCGTCGGCAAGGCCTCTCGTCCGGCCGGGATGGCGGCGGCGTGGCCTTTCCCTCCCTCGGCGGCGCGTGCAACAGCAGGGTCAGCAGTCCTTTCCCCCACGCGAGCTGCGTGTATTTCAGCGGGGAAGGTCGCGGTGGCTGTGACCGCGTCGGCCGGTGTCCATGCCGGCGCAAGGGGATGGCGGCGGGGCTCCTTCTCCCTCACCTCCGTTCCTCCCCTCCTCCAGTCCTGAAGATGGCGGCGCAGGTGGGGGCGGTCGGTCCGGTGGCCGGACGGCCGGATCCGGTGGCGGACGGCCGGATCCGGTGGCTGGACGACCGGATCCGTGGCAGGGCGGCGTGGTGGCCGGCGGCAGCAGGTCCCTTTCCTCTCCTCCGCTCGCCCCTTCACTTCACGGCTGGGCTTGGTCCAACTGTGGCTCGGGCGACGGCTGTCCGACAGTGGCCGAGGTTCGTGCAGGCGCTGGGGGCGGCGCTCTCTCCTCTGCCCGCCCCTCCCCTCACGACCTTGGCTGCTGCGGCAGCTGGCCTACACTGCTACGGCGGTGGCCGTGCCTGGCTAAGGTGGCTGTGGCAGGGGCAGCTTCTGCGCAGCCTGGCCGACGGGCCGGCTCAGGTACCTGCGGTTGTGGTCAAGACGGAGGCGTCGGCGTCGGCAAGGGGTGCCGAGTTCGGGGTCTGGCGTTCGGATCCGGCGGCCCTAGGTCACGGGGCGGCACCCGAGTTAGTGAGGGCACACGCCATGTGTCTGCTGACGACGATGGTCAACGGCGGCCTCGGCGTGCGGCAGTGTGACGCAAGCGGCGGAGTCAGGTTCGGCTCGGTCGGAGGGGGTGGCGGCCGACGCAGCTGAGCGGCTGCTGCGTGTAGCCGGCGCGTCGATGCCCCTTCAAAGGGGCTTCTGTGGGGCGACGGGACAGTGGCAATGGCGGCGAAGGCTGGCAAGGGGTCTGGCTTCGCACCCTGGTGTTCGTGCTAGAGGGTTCTTGGGTGAAAGCCTTGGTGATGGCGACGCCGTTAGGCGCCGCTCCCCTGTTGAGGGCGTCATGTTTCCCATGTCTTCCAAGGGTGGAAACCTGGTCCACGTTGGACGTGCGACGGTGGCGCCATCGGCGTTATTCCCTTCCTGAAGGCGTCGCATTTGGATTTTCGTCGCGGCTTCGAAGCAATGCGAGAGTTTGCGGTTGGAAGTCGGAACTGCTTTTCGGTGTTTGAGCTTGGCAACGATGACCGGTGGCGGCCTCAGCTTCGGACTCGTCGGGGGTGGCTAGTGGGTGGCCTGCCATAGGAAGTCGGAGCTGCTGGCAGCTTGGCTTCCATGCTTGGCAACAATGACCCGTGACAGTGTGTCGTGTTTGTGCTCAGTCACGTTGCGTGGGGTGGTTAACCCTTTGGGTGCCTTTTTGGTATCTAGTCTGGCTAACCTTCTTGTACATGATATTTTTTTGTCTTAATTGAACGACAGAGTTCCTGCCTTTATTTCAAAAAAAAAACTCCTATACTCTTTTTTGTTTTAAAAAAAAGAGAAACAGAGCACAAGTTCTCTTCGTGTACAGAAACAGAAGGCAACATTCTCGGAATAGACAATTGGCAATTTCTCACGTTGAAAATCACGCATCAGGTTCTTTGTCACCAATAAAAAAATTTCTGAACATTGCATAGTCTTTTGCAATGTGCGGATGTGCTAAATTCTTTTGGTATAGTAGCTAAAAATAATGAACTAGGTTGCTTTTCTTCTGATCTTTCTCTATCTTATCTTTGTGCTGAGTGGAATAGCACATTGGCACCTGGAACCGCAACTTGCTGAATAGGAGCAGGAGGGAATGAATAGCTGACGACTGCATTTTCCATTTCAGGTTTGCGTCCGGACAAATTCAGATGTCAAAGGAACAATTTCTGAAGCAAACTTTATTCCTGCCAACAAGTTCTTGATACCGGTCCATCCGCCCGCAAAGTTTCTTTTCTAATTTGTTTTTCCGTTTTCATATTTCTTTCTTTGTTTCTTTCGCTGAACACAACTGTGGCTTTGATCTTGAGAGAAAAGTACAATATGCACACTACAGTTTTATAAATCCTTCAAATTTGTTTGCTTCCTAGGTTAGTATATTAATGTAGTGCTATCTTGCCTTTTCGCCGAAAGCTCTGTTGACAAAAGGGCATAATAAAATGCATATACATATTGGGAGTATCAGTAGGCAGTTCGAAATGCACTGTTCTCCTGTGATCCGATCTCATGACAAAATTTGGCACACACATGAACATCCTACATCTTTAGGAGTGAGTCATAATGAAAACAGTCTGAGCATGCACTCAAAACGGATTTCGCATCTATTTGAAAGAATTCAGAAAACGATTACTGCCTGCTCATCTGCGATGAAATCTGAAGATGTAGTCGAACTGATGGTTTCCATAATTTCCTTCCAAAATCATTCGTTATTCAGAAGGCGGCACAAACTCGAGGAATTAAACAGCTCATAAATAACTATATACCGGTGAAAATCGAAACTAATTAAAAATCAAAGTACAGGTCGCTAGCTCCTCTCTCTACACGTATGTAAGTTGTAACTACGATTCAGTTTCAGTTTCACAGCCTGAGATCCAAGTCTATCTTCTTACTCTGCTCCGACGCCTGCTGCTCCGAGCTCGGCGGCTCAGGCTGGGCTCTCATCCGGAAGCTCCCGGGCCACGTCGAGCTGACCGGCTCCTCGTAGAGCAGCGCCGGCGACCACGGTGTGGCAACCGTGGAGGCGTTGCTACTGTCGCCGTCGTGGAACCTGGGCGCCGTGCTCGAGGCCGCGGCACCGGCACCGGCGGCAGCCGCCCGCGCCGCGGCGAGGTCCTGGCTGGCGCTGGCGGCCTTGTGGATGACCGTGCTGGCCGGGCTGACCCGCAGCGCGGCGCGCACCAGGGCGGCGTGCGCCTCAAGCGGCAGGCCCGCCATGAGCATCCGCTGCTGCGCGTGGAGGTGGTGGTGGTGGTACGCCGACGTGGAGCGCTTGGCCGCGCTGCGCTCCCGCTTGTGCGCGTTCTGGTGCCCGCCCAGCGCCTGCGAGCTGAAGAACTTGCGCATGCAGAAGTTGCACGAGAACACCTTGTGCGGCGCGGGCGCGGCAGGAGGAGGAGAAGGAGACGCGGGCTTGGCCGTCGGCTCGCCGTCTGAGACGGCGGACGAGGACTCCCCCGCGTCCGTCGCCGGGAGCTGCTCGTCGAGAGAGGCGTTCACGGCCAGCGTGAGGTCGAGCCACGCCATGGCGCCGCTGCCGCCGGCCACCACGGACGGCTGCGGCCGCTCCGCGCTCTGCTCGTTCACCGACGACGCCTCGTCCGTTTGATCCATGCCCAATAAATCTTGCATGCGAACTGAAGCTAGCTAGCTGCTGTCTGCTGATGTTTCTTGGCTCTGGATCGCCGCTTGCAGTTGCAGTTGCAGGTGATGATCGGCCACCAGGGCAGCTACTACCACGCCTGCTTTCAGGTTTGCAGTTTGCTTTATAGAGAGCGAGAGGAGCCGAGGCCGGCCGGGGACACGTTTAACGTTGGAATTGGACAGAGAGAGAGAATGGTTTTGGGTAATGGAGGGGAGGCTTGTGGAGGGTGTCTGCGCCTGCGCGGAATCAGGAGGTAGAGAGAGAGAGAAGCTTCTCTCTCCCCCTATGCACTCCACTACTGTAGTTATCAGTGGATAATCTTAGGCGAATCCCGCTTACTTTACCCGCTCATCTCTTCTTCCTCCGTCTGCTCAGGTCATCGCTAACAGAGACTAACACTTTTAGTTGCTCTAGTATAAATAAAATAATCCACGTAAACTAGAAAATATTGATACTACTATTTACACAATACAAACTATCACTACTTGTGTTTTGTAAAGAAACTTTTTCCTTTCATCATACCTCTCCTTTATTTTCTTTCACCCTTCTTTTTTAGCACGTATCACCTTATTTTTCCTTAAGCATACGTAGCTTCTGTAAGTCACTGTAATAAATGTAGAGCACATACTTTTTTTTATCCGATCCTACGTGCACTTATAGCTACTGGAAAAAAAAACAGCGTTGGGAAGCCCTAGCTTTCCCATCTCTGGATCTGTCCCATGTCACTGGAGCAGCAACGCCTCCTCACGTCACCATCCCCGTCTCATGGTTCTCATCCATGCTCCTCTGCAGGTTCTGTAGCAACTGTAGCTTACTACAACTTAACCATCCACGAAAACGGCAATGGACACGCGTCGTTTTACCAGTGGCGCAGGGTGCGGTGAAAGTGATCTACTTCACGTAATCTGACAAAGAAACAAACATGCATGCGTGAATGAACACAAGACAACTACGATTTCTTCTGGAATTTAGCTGTCCAAACTCCAGACTCACAGTTGAAGGAACGGTCCGGTTCATGTCACAGTCAGAAAGCCATGCACGAAGTAATCCTGTCCCTGCAGATTGGCGCAGCAATCACGGCATATATATTGATGGGCACCCTGTTGAAGTTACGTGCTTTACACATCTCGCAAACCTTTAGCGCGTGTTTAGTTCCGAAAAAAGTTCCAAAATTGCTTGTCTCACATCGAATTAGCATTTACGCCCAATGAAAAAAACACGACAGACTGAGAAATTGCGCACCCACCACTATTTGTCGCCTGAAAAAACAAGTAACTTTCCTCAACTAAACAACACAGCCTTTGTCTGGAGATTAGCATTTACGCCCAAACACGACAGACTGAGACGCACCCACCCACCGCCTGACACTAACTGCACCCTGTTCTCTCTGATAAGTGGGTGTTTGTTTCTCCTCCTAAATTTTAGTCGCTGTCTCATTGGATATTTGGACGTATATATAGGTATTAAATATAGACTAATTACGAAACTAATTGCACAGTTTACAACTAATTTACGAGGCGAATTTTTTAAGTCTAATTACTCCATGATTTAATAATATGGTGCTACAGTAAACATATGCTAATGACGGATTAATTATGCTTAATAAATTCGTCTAGTTGATTACTGACGGATTCTGTAATTTATTTTTTATTAGTATCCAAACACCCTATGTGACACCCTCATACGACACATCCTAAATTTTAGTCACTGGATCAAACACCCCTAAGCTCCAGTTTAGCACCCATGATTTCCTTTTTGTAGTGGGCCTGTTCGCTGGTTGGTGCTGGTACTGGTTTGAGCTGGCTGGTGCTAGTTTTTTGTGAGAGAAAAATACTGTTGATTGACTGGTTTGGGCTGGCTGAAACCAACGAGCGAACAGTCTGACAGTGTTTATTCACTGGTTAGTAGTCCCTAGTCCGTACTATTTAGGGCCTATTTGGATGCTGACCCGGCCAATTTGCTACGACTCGGGTGGATGTTCGCTGGCCTGGGCATCATCTAGTCCCAGGCTAGTGTAGGAACCACACAGCCCCTTTAGTTCGCGCTGGAAACATTTCCTGGCCGAACCAGGCCAAGCGCTGTCGCTTTCGGTACCATCACTAGAGCTGACTGATATGAACACACTAACAGCTCAGAGTTTATGGCCTGTTCCAAAAAATTTTACATAGTATCTATCACATCGAATCTTACGGCATATGCATGGAGTACTAAATATAGATGAAAAAAAAAACTAATTGCACAATTGGATGAGAAATCGCGAGACGAAACTTTCAAACCTAATTAGTCCATAATTAGACACTAATTACTAAATACAAACGAAAGTGCTACAATAGCTAAAACCCAAAATTTTTTGTATCTAATCGCGCCCTTAGACTAAATCACTATGACTCAATAGCTGGTTCATGAACCTTTGCTCGTCCCATGCGTGTGCATGCATTTTGTATTCTTGTTATTCCTCCTCTTCCTTCTCCTCATGCAGTGGCAAGTGGCAGCTCTAGTAATGGGATTGTACAATGATGCCTTCACTCCAGCCTCCACAGTCCGCCACACCACAGGGTTTCAATCCTTTTGGTAGTGGGAGACTGTTGCCGTCACAGCACAGTCCACAGCAAGTGCACTGCTATTGCTATATAGAGGAGGACGACCACCACGTTGGCCCCCCGATCTTCCACACGGGTGAGCTGACTGTTTACCGATGTTACCGATCACACACTATGGCTAGAGGTAGAAGAAGAGAGGAAGAACATAGCGTACACACACAACACAAGCACCAGTGTTGGTCGGAGCTCTGCAGAGAAGATGACAAAACTGAACTCGCTCTCTTTACTGAGTTGCAGTGGGAAGCTATAAATACAATTCTACCCATCTAATCCTACTATATAGACATGCCAGGCTGCCAGGCTGCTATAGTGACTAGATGTTACAGCAGGGCTGACATTGGCGTCTGCCCCTACTGTGGCTACAGTGCGGCAGGGGAGCCTTTCGGCGCCTGCCCCTGCCGTAGCTACAGTGTAGCAGCAGGGAGCCCTTTCGGCGCCTGCCTCTACCACGCGTTCACACATGAGAGAGCAACATATTACTTTATAATTCTTTCCCTAACCCTGCTGCTAATCCTAGAACCTCCACCATGCCGATCATCTTCTTCAGCTCCGTAAACTGAAGACGGCCGAGCAACTTAGTGAGGACGTCCACGAGTTGCCGACTAGTTTCGACGAACTCGATGACGATCTACCCTCCATCAACACAGTCCCTGAGGAAGTAAAACTTGATGTCGATGTGCTTGCTCCGGTAGTGGAGAACCGAATTCTTCGCGAGGGCGATGGCGGGCTGGTTGTCCACCATCAGTGCTGGTGGATGAGCTTCCACACCGGTCACGCCTCGCCCGGCAGAAATTAACGCACCACACACGCCATTGTCGCCACCGTGGCAGCCATGCCATGTACTACTCAGATCGCACGCGGATGGACGGCGCCACCACCTTCTTTGGCGGCGCAGCCATGAGATTGGAGCCGACCTGAGGAAGACGAGCACGCCAGAGGTGCTCTACCGTCCGTCGATGTCCCCCGCCATGTCTGCATCGCTGAACACAGTGAGCTGCAGGCCACTTCCGCCAGTCTTGGGGAAGACGATCCCCTAATCTACCGTCCCCTTGACATAGCGCAGCAGCCGCTTCACTGCGGCCCAGTGATCCTCTCGGGGATGCTCCATGAAGCGGTTGACGTAGCCCATGGCGAACGCAATATCCGGTCTCGTGTGGACTAGGTAGCGTAGACCACCGACGATACTCTGGTAGAGTGTTGCATCTACCTTCACCGCGGTACTGACCTTCGTCAGCTTCAGCCGCTTGTAACACCCCTGGTGTTACGAGATCGTTTAGCACCGTGATTTAGGCTTAAGTCAAATTTTCGAAACGAGTTTCCTGAATTTTTGATTTAAAACATACTCGACGTGATGAGTGGATCCATTGACTCAGTTGTGGGGACTCGAATAAACGCTCAAGTTAAATTACGCCGTGCGTAGGAATATTTAGGAATATTGAATGACGATTCTAACAAATAAATAGCGAACGACATGTTTAATTGATTAAACACGAAAAACAATTTTTATAAATAAAATACGATACGACTGGTATATAGTACTTAAGTAAAATTCAGAGTATGATTTTTGGTTGCATTTAAAATAATAACGAAAGTACCGCTGAGTAGCCACTGCATCCGTTGTCTCGTCGAACTAATGGCTTTGTCGTGATGCCGCTGTTTTCCCCGTGTTGCTTCCTACATTGGTTTTGCGTGGCGAGCTCTGTATACAGCCGCTGTTCCGCTGTCGCCGTCCGCACGCAGCCAAAGCTGAGCCGTCTCATCACGGAACGCCGCGGCACGTTTTCTTTAAGCCGTATCGTGCGAACGCCACGAGCCTTTATTGCATACGCGACCACTGATGGCTGAGCTGTGTAAATATCGTCGCGCAGCTAGTCCGGCTCACTCGCCCGTGTCGTGTTCTGGCCCTGCAACTAAAGACTTACCTGCAACGCTGTCTGCCTCTGTCTGAGCCGTGCCACTAAAGTGTCTGCGCCTGCACGTTTGCTATCGTGCAGTCACGTCGTGTCAGGGCAAAGTCAAGCCGGGTCACCTCCGTGTCGGCAGCGTTGTTTCTCCCTCTCCCTTTCTTTTTCTGCAGCCGAGGAGCCCAGTTCCTGCTCATTCTTTCCACTGGCTCTTCCTTCCACGCTTGTCTCCCGGCCGGACCACTGCACTGCCGCGTGCCCTCATCTGCGCCGTCGCCGTGGTCCGCTGCCTCGCTGCGGCGCCGTTGACGGCTCCACGCCTGAGCCTGCGATGCCGTGCACCGCATCACCACTGCTCGTTCCGTGCCCGCACGCCGGTGCCACACCACCGCCTTTGGCGCACCACGCAGCGCGCGCGCCCCACGGCCCCGGCCCACGCTGGTCCACTTCCCCGCAGCACACGCC